GCAAGTCCATTTCTGGAAATATATCCAAAGGAAATGAAAACAGAATCTCAAAGACATATATGCACTCTCATGTTTATTGCAGCAATATTCACAATAGCCAAGACATGGAAACAACCTAAGTGTCCACTGATGGATGAATGGATTAAAAAAATGTGATATATATATATATATATCACAGTAGAATATTATTCTTCCATGAGAAAGAAGGAAATTCTGCCATTCGCAACAGCATGGACGGATCTTGAGGGCATTATGCTAAGTGAAATAAGTCAGACAGAGAAAGAAAAATAGTATATGATCTCATCCATACGTATAACATAAAAACATGAAAGAAAATATAGAAACAGAGAGTAGAATGGTGGTAGCTAGGGGCTGAGGGATGGGGGAAACGGAGAGATGCTGGTCAAAGGTACAAACTCTCAGTTATAAGATGAATAAGTTCCAGGAATCTAATGTACAGCATGGTGTCTATAGTTAACAATACTGTATTGTGTACCTGAAAGTTGCCAGCAGAGTAAAGTTTCTCACCACAAAAAGAAATAGTAATTATGTGACAAGATGGAAGTGTTAGCTAAGGCTATGGTGAAAAACATTTTGCAATATATAAGTGTATCAAATCAACAAGTTGCACACCTTAAACTTACACGTTATATGTCAATGATATCTCAATAAAGCTGAAAAAAAATACTAAGAAAAAATACAAATGGGTTATAGATCTGGAGAATAGAATACAAAAGGTCAATAGATCTATATCATGACTTCCAAATTCATAGACCCTTCTCAGCTTTGTCTCTTGAACTTCAGACTGGAATATTCACGCTAATTAATAACTGTACTTGGATATCCCGCTGAACCTTACACTTATTTGCTTGTGCAATGAACAAATATTTTAAAAATAATATTCACCAAATTTAATTTTTCTTCCCCTCAGATCTACACCTTCTCCAAGCAATCACGAGGTCTTATTGCCTCAAACTTTGTTTATCTATCCTCTTCTCTACCTCTCCTTTGACTATTTAAGGTGGTGCAGAATGTCCTTTCCTTTTGTCTGTATCACTGCAACAGCCTCCTCAATGGGTCTTTCTGGGTCCAGTCTTGCATTTCTTTTAGTCCATCCTCTATGTAGAAGCCCAGGTGATGTTTCTAAAGTCCAAGTGTGATCAGGTCACTTTTCTGTTTGAACCCCTTCAAAGCCTGCCTGTTGCTCTAGGATGAAACACCAAGGTCATGACTTGTCTTACAGGGACTCACTTCTGCTCCTTCTACAGCCTCAGGCTTACAGTGCTCCAACCCACTTCATGCCCCGGCCACACTGCACAACCTCTGCAGCCCCTTCTGCCTGAAACACTCTCTACCTTTCATCCCTCCGGCCACAGCCTAACACCTGTTAACCTTTGCATCTCAGCTTAGCCTTTGGGACTGCCCTTGGCCTTCCCCGTCCACCTGTAAGATTGGGCAAATGCTCCTCCTCTGAGCTCCCTTACAGCTGGCGCTAAGTTCTGTCCCAACGCTGGTCCAGAGACTGTCCTTCTCTGTCTGTTTACCTTCATCCTCCGCGAGACCTTCAACCTGTGAGCAAGCATTGTGCCTAATTTGTAGCTCTGTTCTCAGCACCTAGTCCAGGGCATGGCACATAGTAGGTATTCATTAAGTATTTGTTGAATAAATCAAAAAAGTAAAGCAGAGAAGTGAAATAGTCCACGTTAGCAATAATTTTGGTGGTTGAAAAAGGTAGATTTCTCTTCTTCACTGGTTTCCTACCTAAATCACTAAACTCAAACTTTATGTATCACCATTTCCAGAAAAGGCTCCACTTTAATTTTATGAAATTAAAGCTGAATAACTTCTATTTTAAAACTCAGAAAGGGCAAAAGGATCTTTAGACACAATTTAGTGAAGAATTTGGAAAGTGAGCGACTTTGGTTCCCCCTATATTTAAAAAATTATATATTTAAAAATGGCTCATCACAGTCTCTGGCACAGAGAAGGTTCTCAATAGTGTTACTGGAATTTAATTGTTTCTTCATGCTGCCAAAATACTAATTCCTCCAAACCTCCCTATTTTCTCTACTTCCTTGTTCTCCAAAAAGGAGGGTGATGAAAACTACTCTCCATGCACACACACAAAGGAGGAGGAGGCATGGCCCAAAACGGAGACATAGCCTTATTTTATTCAAATGTAAAATCTTAAAAATGAGCAAAATGAATTTTTTTTTTTTTAGTGAGGAAAAGTGGCCCTGAGATAACATCTGTGCCCATCTTCTTCTATTTATATGTGGAACGCCGCCACAGAATGGCTTGATGAGCGGTGCATAGGTCCATGCCCGGGATCTGAACCCGCGAACCCCTGGCCGCCAAAGCGGGGTGTGTGAACTTAACCACTATGCCATGGGGTCAGCCCCTGAAATTATTTTTTTATTCAACTAAATGCAGGTTATGTTTCAGAAGCTGTGTGAATTTCCGTCATTTAGGCGGGCTGGCCCCTCCTTGGAGCCAGGTGGAACTATGGCTAGATTGGGCAGGGACGATGTAAACCAAGAGCAAGAACAATCAGGGATGTAGTCAATTCTAGAATGCTAACTAGAGGAGTACTTGCCAGAGAGGGGAAGTACACGGGACCCTGACTTTGATGGCACAGATGTTTACCTGCAGTGACACATCTGTATAAAGAGACCACAATTCAGGAAGATCATCCCTGGTGCTTCTGTGTTCATTATGTGGTGTGCGTGTGTGTGTGTGTGCGTGCACACATGCATGTGTGTCTGGCTTGTGGACATCTTACCATGCAGGACACAGTCAAAGCAAATGAAGACAGTTATCAGAGGATGGGAAGTAAAGATACAGAAACAAAAGTTTTATTTTTCTGTGCAAATGTGTAAAAGCCATGGTCACAAACAGTGCAATCGAAAATACAGAAGAATAAAGAGAAAAGGGACATTACTTTTGTTTGAAGTCAGATATCTCATGACAAGATATTTGGAAAACAGAAAAGCAATTGACAATTACAGTGACAAGAGAGGCATCAGAAGTGTACAGAGAAAGAGATGGTGAGTGATTCTTAAATATATTTGGAAGATAACATACGACATTTGGAATGGCCTGTAAGTATATAATTACGGATGTGTCCAAAAGGGAGTAAATGTACATAAGGTTTTTGGCTATAATCTATTTTACGCTTACATCAAATATTTGGGAAAGCAAATACCGATGAGAAGGTTTCTCCCAAGTCTCTTGTCACAAAATCTAACTTTGGAATGGATCATCTGAGATCACAGTGTGGCACATGCCATGGAAATAGATGCACACAAAGGAAAGACTTCAAAATTAGTTGCTTCCAGTTTGAAATGACTGCCAGTATTCCACAGGATATGAATTAGCTGCGTAAAATCTTCTATTACTATTGAAAAATAAAATTAAATATATTTCCTTTGCTTTTATAGTATAGTATTTTGTCCCTTTGTTTTGAATGGTAATTTAGGTTTACCTTGGTCATTTCCACAGACAAACAACTTTCTTAAAACAATTGAGACTAAATGAGTATTGGATATAACCCAATCGATAAATTACCCTTACATTTTCAAACTAGCTCCTAAAAACATAGACACATTTACAAAATGACATTTGGCTGGCTATTGTTATTGTAGTTGCTTTCTAAATTAATCCATAGGATCAAATTATTTTCCCTTTAAATGAACATGAATAATGCCTCCTTTGTAAGGGTACATCGACGCAAAGATATTTAGCACAGATGCTAACATGCCAGTGAAAGCAATTAAAAATATTATCAAATAAAGTTTTTTTCTAATTATTATTTTATATACTCTACTAAAGGTAAACAAGAACATATAAATTTTTTCATATCTTATTAATTAATTTACTTTGTAGATCCATAATTTCAGGTATATATTTATTAAAAGAATCATACTGCCAAATATATTTTGATTATGATAGGTTCTATGCTTCTATGATTTTTTTCAGAAAGATATTTGAAGATGATAAATTTACTTGCAAATTTAAAAAAATATGCCTCCGAGAAATTCAAGTTTCATAATATATATTTTTTGGTGTATGCATATACAACAGTACTTATTTTTTATTAAGTACTCATTGAAAACCAATTGAAATAGTCCATTTGATAGAAATGTCAACAAGCTCATAAATTGATAAGCAATTAACCAAAAGTTATTCTATTTGGATAGAAAGTATTGCAGGAAAAAGAAACAGAGAAAGAGTTCATCTGTTGCCTTGTTGGAGGAGAGAAGTTTGCGTGGAATCATAAATTATACTGGTGAGGCATAATTCAAGCATTGATACCAATTATATCAGAAAATTTTCTTTCTACATGTTTAGGGACTTTGTGTAATTCCCTGCTTTCGCTTTGTATCTTTTTTAACTTACCAGAGAACTGGCAACACTTCATTTGAATAGCTATCTATAAAAACATAGATGGATATAAAAAGTTTAATCAGTAACTTTTAAAGGTCACGTCATGAATACTAGATGGGAATGAAAGAACATTAAATGACTTAGGATCAGGATGAATGAGGGAAACTTACATTACTGAGTCCACACAAAAACCAAGTGGAGGAGAAAATGGCTTCTTACTGCAGTGGTCATTCAACTACGGAAGCGCTGAGAATGATGTGTTTGTGCTAAATACACTCAATGATGAGATGTTTCTTGTTATATTAAGAAGACTATTTTTTTTTTTACATTTAAAGCTAGAATAGGCAAATATTTGATATACTCATAAAATGATTGACTTTATTTTAATTTTCAAGATGGTTTTTATTTTCTTTTTTAGAGAGCTAAAATGAGTCAAGGCGTCTCTCGAAAGTCAATGGCTTTTAAGTGTGGGAATGTTCCAATGTGTATTAGTAATCTTCCTGTTCACCCCACTCAACAACCGGCTCATCATTCATGCGCAGAATGAGGTAGGAAAGGAGCTGGAAGAGATTCTGCCAGAGCAGGAGAGACACATAGAAGGGGAGGCCGCTTACGTCTATCTCGCAGCGCTCGCCAGCAAAGGCCACGTCGCAGAGGCACTGGAATTTGTTGAGCGAGTCCTGGCAGAGGCCTCCGTTCAGGCACGGATTGGAGGCACACTCATCAATGTCCTTTTCACACCTTGAAAACAAACAGAAACAGCAGAAACCTGGGTCCCTGTTGAAAAAATTGGCTGTGAAATGAGGAAAGAAAACATTTGCCTTCTCTCCCTAGAACAGTACGGTCTAATTTACCAATCCCCACACAATTTACATATTCTCGACAATGAGGGAGATGGTCTTTAAAATTCCTTTAACAAATTTTGGTTTTAATGGAAATAATTTGTACAGACACACACACACACACACACACACACACACACACACACACACACACGAACAGTTAATTAGAATGAGAAAACGGATGCAAATATTTAGAAACCAAGAGAAAACTGGGCCATGAAGAAGGGCCAGTTTCTCCCTCAAGAGTGTGGATGTCTTCACCACCTTGTGAAAGTTCAATTTACTGGGAGCACCTAGGAACCGTGAGACGGAGGCTGCATTTTGCCAACTGGAGTCTGCAGGGCAGACCCACACTTACAGTTTGAGATTCTAATGCATCGGCACCCTCCGGCTAAGGGGAAAGCCGATCAAAGACAGAAGAAAGAATTTGGTTTATTCTGGGAGATTTTGGATTATTTTCCTTTGGAATACCATTTTTTAAACAAAAGCAAAAGTAGATAATCAGAAGTTTTCACTTGCCAATAAATCTGTTTCATAGCTAAGCATAATTTTTGAGTATTCAGATAGAGTGACTTTCAAAGGCCAATTTTTCCAAAACAAGTGATATCAATTCTAAGGTAAATTGAAATTTTCCTTTTCTCTGGGAGGAAACTATTTTTCACTTAATTTTCCACCAACAACTTGTTTTTCTGTATATTTTCTGATTAATTCTCTCATCAGTCATTCGAGTCATTCGGTAGATATTTATTTAGCACTAGCCATGTGCAAACACTCTGCCAGGCCCTGGGACAGAGCAGTAACTACAGCATCTCTTTTTCTTTGGGAAATTCATATAAAATCTTAGCTTCAAGAATCTTACAGAGCAGCTTACAATGTTGAAGTCTAATGTAAACAATTTTTCATTCCCCGCCTCCCCAAAGCTCGAACTTGCATGCGTGGAGCATCCACTGATCACTAGGCTCAAAATGAAAGCAGATGAGGTGGTGGGCGGGGCAGGGCTAACCCAAGGGATAAAGGGAAAAAAGATTCTTTCCCAGAAAAACATCTCCTTATCCCGTTGGATACCAAGCATAGCTGAGACGTTTTGTTTTCCTTTTTTGGCTTAGGCTTCTGGGCTGGAAGACTTCTCTGATTAGATCTGAGCCAAACTTGACAACCCTCGGGAGCCTGCCAAGCACTCTCTGTCCTGGGTGGGCCAGAGCATTCACACCATCCATCATTTACAACTTGCCAGGATGACACTCCCAAGTTGGAGGTTTAACCAGACAGAAGAGAAGGCAATTTGCAAGAAGACAGCTTTTCAGTATCTTTGGATGTTATGGAAGTCACGTGCCCCTCGGCCTTGGGAGATTGCCCGGTATTTTCTAGTCTCCCTCTAGCTATTCTTTCTCGATTTTTTATATATTTCTTTTCTGAGCTAAACAGTGCACAACACATACACATTCATTATAAACATTATTGGAGCTTTCATGAGAGGTTAATTAATAGAAGGAAAATCAAAATAAATCAATCCATTGGCATCGATGAATTAACAATTGATGGTTAAGGACTCTGACAGTACAGAATCTATGGAACACGTGTTCACCATTTTAGAAATTCCTTTGCAGCAGAGAAGTTTATCCAGATGAAAAGATTCTTGGGAGAGGAAGGAAAACCTTGAACTTCCTTTTCTTACCACATTTCAAATCAATAATTTGAATTTAAATGCCATATATATATATTTTTAAGAAATAAATGTTGGAGGAAAGGGAAACGTTTGTTGTGAACAGTGACAACGTGTGAGTAGCAGAGAAAAATAATCCAAGGCTTTACATGAGTTCTCTGCATGTGACATTAAGCATCAATGTGACATTAAGCATTAAGCTGTGACACTGAGGCAGGACAACCAGAACTTAAATATAGTTAAAGAGTTGTTCAAAATTTAGGACAAGGAAATATTTGCAACATTTTGGAGATATATAGAATCGGAGGCCAACTGAATGGTCTCTGGGTTAATAATATGTTGCATGATAAAATTGGTGCAATGAAAAGCAGAATATGACTCAAGGCTATATCCTTCCATGCACATATATGCTTGGCCTGGCTTTGCCACTTGGAGCCAACCTCTGACAGCAGGCTGTAAGAGCAAGAACTAGATTAAATGACATTGAATGTTGGAGGTGAAATGCAGGTGTATCCTAGATAACCTGTTTTGTGAAAATGGCACAAGAGCTGTATCTGTGTGATGCCAAAAGAACCAGCTGAAAAAGAGAAAATTCAAATTAATCCAAACTGTAATTGTCGTGGAGTACAAGTATACCCATTATTTTATTAACTACCCTTTTGGAAAAAATTAATTCAGTCAAAATCTCTTTGCCAAAAGTCTTAGACTTTAGCTTATCTAATTTGTTCAATGTAGGAAGTTTGATCAGAGATCAATATATCTTGCCCTGGATGGTACGTGAGAGGGAGGAGCATTTTTATTATTTTCTTTTAATTGTTGCAAGCAAAGATTTCTTGATACATTTACACTAGCACATCCAATGGATGAGCAGAAGCTTTGAAGGCAGCTCAGCCTTGCTGAAGCATATATCTGGATTGGCACATTCCACTTAACCTCTCAGCCTTAGTTTACACAAATGCAAAATGGAAATAATAACAATTACAGATAATATTTGTAAGGTGCATGGCATAGTGCTCAGCAAGTGGTTAACTATTATATGCTTCCATAGTATCTATAGCATATAGAGCCCTGGTTTGTAATCATTTTGGGGACATTGATTCCTTTTGAGAATCTGATAATAGCTGTGGGGTATGAACCCTTTTTACCCTTGACCTCATCTTCAGCCAGTTAGATGCATATCCAAATTTGCCTACATTTTCAGCAGGTCACAGACTGTCTGAAGCCATTGACCAATTCTATATCAACAATCATGCATTAGGGTTGAAGGGTTGAAGGCTTTCTCTGGGACAAGTGGACTCACATAGATAAGGCGTATATACTTTTAGGGGGCTAGGTAATTCTGTGAGGCAATCTTTTAGGTTTATTTTATTTTACTTCAACAACAACTATATTTGCATCATGTGTTACAGTTAATGGGAAAGAAACATGAAACCAGCACTTATAAGAAAGAAAAATATCACAGTTTACATTTTTCAAAGACATATTTCCCTATTTGAAGTCTTGGCTAATAAAGTGTTCTTCACTTTGACCTAAACTGTAATTTTTCTTCTTTTTTATTGTTTGACTCTGGCTGGACATATATTTCAGCCTAGATTTTCCTATGGGAACTGAGATGAAAAATTAGAGGAGAAATAAACTTTGAATAATCCCACCATTCTTCAGCCCAGAATTTCCTCCTATAGAGATCTAAGTGACTCACCATTCCCCAGTAAAACCTGGCCGGCACGCACATCTGAGTTCACCCTGGAACTCTGTGCAGCTGCCTCCACTGTAGCAAGTGAAGTTTGTCTTCTCATTCCCACAGACCGTTGAGGGTAATCTGGTGTGTCTAGAGAGATAAAAGAAACAGCCACAGCTGTTCATCTTGTTCGTTTCATTGAAGAAAACTTTTTGGAAAAGTTCATATATGGAGTCAATGCCAAATTAATTAAGTACGCAGGCTGGCTGTGCTATAAATGCTTAATTGCGCTGCATTAGACAAGAGTCACTTTCTCATAAGCAGCTCCTGCTGGAGGGCGCTGTAGCGAGCATGGCCATACATCTTCCATTTCTACCCAGTTTTCATTGGTGAGATAAGATCTATGCCGTGGAGTGGCAATAAATTTAGTGTTGGAAAGAAACTTGCTATAGCCAGATTTGCTGCTGCTTTGCTAATAAATCAACACAGGCCACGGGAGAATTGCATCTCTGTAAGGGCCGGGAAAGAAAGGCCAGTACTCCGGTGCCCAAGCACTCATGTGATTTCTCTGTTGGCTTTCAGAGCTGAACTCCAGCTGCCCTGCGAACACATGCTCCCCCATCTAATAATTCATAGCTCAGCAGAATGCAAACCAAATGCTGCCCAGGTGTGTATACAGCACTCAGCGGTAACTATGTGTGAATTCAGAGTGCCGCTATTTTGTGTAACAACACAGCTCTAGATGTTAAGGAATCCTTAGAAAAGGCAGAACAAATTGTTAGAAGCTAAGCAGAACTTGATTGCAAGACAAAATCCAGTAGTGTGAAGGGACTGATTTAAAAGATTTTAAGGGTGTTTCTCAGGTCGCTTGACATACCGTGCGTGTGCATGGTATCTGGTACATAGTTAATATTCAGCAAATATATGATGAATTTAATTTTGTCCTGTTCTGTGTGGTGCAGCTAATATGGAGAAACCTATATGATGGTAAGTGTGTCTCTTCCCATAAGAGCTAACCAATTCGACTTTAAAAAGAAAATATCATACAGGCTTTTCAAAAGAGCCAAAAATGTCATCCAGCTTTGAAAGAGTTCAATTAGCAATGCAAATATGAAGCTTTGTATACATCTTACATTTAACAAACAATTTTTGAATCTCATTAGAAGGTACTTTTGAGAACTTTAATCTTTGAGAACTTGACTTTGATGAATTAGGCAGAAAAAAAATACTGGAGAACTAATTACTGGGGCATATATGTTTATTCGACTTATCCAAAGTCACCATGGCAGTATTATTAATTTTGATCCTGAATGTCTTCTGCTTTTAAACAGGCAGTTTCCCTGTTGGCAAATGAGTCGGTTAACTCATGAGAAGTGGCGTCTTACTGGAATGTCAACACTTAGCACTAACACTGTGCCTTGCCTTCATAGGTCTGAACAACAATAAATGTTGTGGAGATAAATACATCTTCTTAAAGGTACAGCCACATGTTATGTCTACTGGGAGATTCATCCAATTATGGTACCACCATCAATTAGTGTAATGTCTACAGGCCACCAACCCACTCCAGGTGTTCTTGCTAAAGTCCTGGAGTGAGTTGCTTATTAATAACGACGCTCTTGCCTCCCCATATGACTCAACTGTTTAGTGAATTTAAAACAAGTATAAGTTGCAAGAACAATAATGAATTCTACTTACATGGAAATGTTTAAACAATGTGACTTAGCAGGAAAATATTCAGTCTTATTTCTGTTTATATAACATGAAACGGAAGTGATTACTAGACCTAAAATACTGCTTTTGTAATTTTAGAAAAAAATTGCAAAATACTTTAAAATGGGCAAAAGAGATCATTGGGTATTCTTTCAATGGAATGCTGGGTGTTATATAAAGGATCCTCTAGGATTATCTGATTTTGTAGTGTGTATGCCTTAGCTTTTCTTTACTACGCTATGTTACAACTCTGTAAGTTATAGAAAATGATATTAATACAAATGGATCTTGTTCATCAAATGCAAATGAATTTATCTGTAGTGATACAATTGATTGTCACACTGCAGAAAAGATGGTTTCAAATACTAATTTTGTTGCCCTGTAGGGCATTAAACAGTTTTACATTTACTGGTAAATTCATTTCCTCATCTCTATTTATAATATGTTATAAAAATATGTATAATTATAAAATATATATAATTATAAACACATTGTCCTTTGAACTGGGTTTTATATCTTACTTCATTAATTAATGACAAAATCATCGTTAATTAATGAGATTAATTAATGCCTCATTAATTAATGACAAATAAAATCATCAAAACATGTTCATTTATATTTGTGTGAGAGTCATGATTTCACCTTTTTGAAATTATACTTTAACATAGTCTTTTCAGGATTTTACAAGATTTACCTGGCTGAAATAACCCGGGCATTGTTTTAGAGGTAGCAGTCATACTTCCTCCAATGATACTAAAATTCAGCTTTTGCATTTATTGTAAACGTAATTGTTTCCTGAGGCCTTAAGACTTTGGGGCTGTAGTTCACGAGACATATTCTAACAAAGATGACTGAGAAAACATTTTGCTTGAAGTCTGGCCAAAGAACTACCCCTCTTCGGTGTAGAACATCCCAGCAGGTGAGATCCTGTCTTTACACGACCAAATTGTGATGGCAGTGCCCAGTGTCACCCCTGTTCAGCACAGCCTATACACCCCTGCTGGGGGAGAGAGCTTTCCAATTTGACAAGGAAAATGTAGAGCATAGCTCCAAAGACCAAGTTTTATGTGAACTTCATGCTCACCTGCAAAATTTTCCTGTGAAATTTCCAAAACAGCGGCAAGAATAGCCATTGGTGTCACTGATGCAGGTGGCCCCATTTGCACACTGGTGACTCTGGCAATTGTCTATAAACACCTCACAGTTCACACCGCTGTACCCAGGCTCGCACCTGCAGCGATAGGCTGCAACTCCGTCGGAGCAGTTGCCGTGGATACAGGGGTTAGAAAAGCACTCATCAACGTTGACGTCACAGCGTGTCCCTGACCAACCCAAGGGACAGGAGCAGCGATAAGAGCTGTAGACGTCTTCACAAGCTCCTCCCTGCAAGCAGGGGTTGGAGCCGCAGGCGTTTAACTGCAAACAGCCAGTAACCACTGAATTTATAGAGATCTTGAGAAACTGCTCTTCCTGAGGTTTATTAATGAAACCAGGAATATTTTCAAAGTAGGAGAGATAAACGCCACCAATTCCTATTGTACCTAGACACCCTCGCAGGCCCTGCATATTGTCAGTGGCTCGGTCACCCACATAAATGTCTGTATTATCCTTCAGAAAGTTGAGGCTTCCCGTAGCAACGGCACTGGTCACGATAGGTGTTTGGTTGTCCACTTCCATTTGCCACCTGGAGGCCTGGGCCAGTGGGTCTGTCATGGAAAGAGTCACTTGGTGCCATATGCCATCGCTCACTGACTGCAAACTCGTCAGACTCAGCAAATAAAAACTGTTGCCACTTTGCAATTGAAATAATAATCTGGAATCTTGAATGCTAATGTTAAGGAATTCAGGCTCCTTCTCTGCGTGCAATATGATCCCATTTGCATCCCTTGTTCTGAAGCCAAATGTGATGTTGGTGAGTTCTCTGCTAATATTCCCATTGCTCCTGAATAATATTCCACTGCTTTGTCTATTAAAAACAGCATTTGCAGTGCCTAAAGAGAGAAAGCAAAGCAATCAGCAACTTGACTAAATCAGTAATGTTTGCTTCTTTACCTTTACTAAAATTAATGGCCATCATGTTACTACCATCATGTATTGTTTGATATAGCCGAGGCACTGTGCTGGCCTCTATATTATTTCTAATACAGAATTCTTGAAGACAGGTTTATTATTATTATTATCACCCCCCATTTTATAGAAGAAGAAATCGAGACTCACAGAAGTTTAAGTCATTTTCTCATATCATATGGCTAACAAATAATAAAGCCAGAATGCCAAACGTGGATGGCCTGATACCAAAACCCAAACCATACATTTCTTTTTCATCTAATACATTCCAACATTCATTTTACATTTGCCACCACATTATCCATTTTATACATAGAGAAGTTGAGCACGCAGGAATCATGAATCTAGCGTTGGGGATGCAGTACACTAACAGTGGAGTCCGGCTTCAGATTAAGCTGACCAGCAGGCAGTCATCCAAATGGCTGGTTCACCCAGCTGGCAAACTCCAATGATGTGCCAAGCTACCAATTCTGTGCCTAAATGCAGGCAGCTTCATCTGGCTGGGCAAAAATATGTCACCACGTCAGCTGCTCTCTTTTATGCCCACGGCTTGTACGCCACCACGGCACTTCCGGGCAATCTTATTGCATTTTTCTATTAAAGTGCTTTCCCAATTCTACAGGATCATTAATTCACACCTTGCTCCATCTCTTAAAATATCTAACCCTATCTCAGTTTATGCTCTCCTTTGAGACTTTCTTGAGAAAAAGGGAGAAAGAGAACTGTAATCTCGAATCTGTAAACCTAACAGTATCTGGACCCACCGTGCTTTCCGTTCTGTTATAATGGATGCATTGTCCTTACATCCTTCCTTACAGATAGAAATCTGTAAGATAATAGAAAACGTATGTATTTGTTCTCTGCCACCAGTTCCTGACACAGGGCGCTTAACACTCTTATAAATTCCCAAGTGATAAGAGCACTACGAGCATCTTTCATTCTAATGAGGTGACTCTGGGTGGGCTCCGGGATGGATCCTGGATGGGGGCTGGTCGCCAGGAAGACCACGCCATGATTAGAAGCTTGGAATTTTTAGACCCACCCTCATTCTCCAGAGAGGGGAGAGGAGCTGGAAACGGAGTTAATAATTGATCATGCCTATGTGAGGAAGCCTCCATAAAATTCCCATAAGTATAGGGTTGGAAGAGCTTCCAGGTTGACAAACGCATCCACACTGGGAGGCTGATGCACCCCAGCTCCCTGGGGATGGCAGCGCCTGCGGTAGGGACCCTCCTAGACCTCACCCTACAGCTGTTCATCTGTATCCTGTATCACATCCTTCAATAAACTGGTCAACGTTAAGTAAGTGTTTCCATGAGTTCTGTGAGCCCCTCTAGCAATTAATTGAACCCAAAGGAGGGGGTCATGGGAACTTCCCATTTATAGCTGATCAGTCAGAAGCACAGGTGACAACCTGGACTTGCGATTGGCATCTGAAGTAGGGTGGGGCCAGTATTGTGGGACTGAGCCCTTAACCTGTGGGATCTGATGCTATCAGAAGCAAATTAAATTGAGCCCTTAACCTGTGGGATCTGATGCTATCAGAAGCAAATTAAATT